ATGGGTGATTGGGGGGTTGGGGAATAGCGGGATGGGGAATAGCGGGATGGGGAATGGTGGGATGGGGAATAGATGGGGGAATGGCGGGATGGGGAATAGCGGGATGGGGAATAGATGGGGGAATGGCGGGATGGGGGAATGGCGGGATGTGGCATTCCCTGCAGGACGGGAAGCTGACGCGGGAGGAGATCGTGGACAAGTCAGATCTGTTCGTGGGCAGCCAGGCCACGGACTTTGGGGAGGCGCTGGTGCGGCACGACGAGTTCTAGGCTCGACGCCTGTTGATGGGCTCCGTCCCTCGCCGAGGCCGCTCTGCCGCGGAGAAGCCCCATCCCGGCTCCCGGGGCTCGGGAAAGCCACACTCCCCAGGCACTTGGGGCTCGTCTCGTGGGTTTTCCCCGGATTTTAATGACTTTTGGGTTATTTTTGTATGTTTTGGTTTTACCACATGTGGGAACGGCTCCCCTGGCGCGGGGGCAGCGACGGGGCTGCCCAGGGCTGTGGGGCCCGGGGGGGGAGTGGGAAATTCACAGAGGGACTGGGAGTGGAATTGCAGTTGGAATAAAAATTAGAATTGGAATTGGAATTAAAGTTGAAATTAAAATTGGAATTTGAATTGGATTGAAACTTGAATTAAAAATGGAATTGGAATTAAACATTGAAATCAAAATCAAAAATTGAAATTGAAACGGAATTAGAACCAAAGAAGTGAAATTGAATTAAATGGAAACATTGATGTGAAATTGGAATAAAAAGTGAACATTAAAATGAAAATTCAAACCCAAGAAAACCCTCAGAAGTGTCAGAGCAGCAGCAGGACTCAGAGGGTGACTCGGAGGTGACCCCAGGGAGGTTGGAGCCTCCTCCCCTGTCGCTGCCCCGTGGGATCTGGGCAAGACCCTTCCCCCCAGCCCCGCTCCAAGTGCCTTGAACCCCCCAGACCTCTGGGGGAGGGCCTCATCCCACCATCCCAGCCCGCTCTGGGACAATCCCCAGGGTTTTCTCTCTTCTGTGTTGTTTGTCCCCCTGCAGCCACCAGAGCTGCGTGGAATTGGGCTCGGCCATCTCCAAATTCCCAAGTTTTCCTTTAAATCCTTTCCCAAAGGTTTCCAAGGGCTGACTGGATCCTCCCATTTCCTTCTTCTCCTCCTTTTCCTCCCCTCCCTAAATCCAGTGGTGAGTGGGTCGGGAATGTGGCCCCATGCAGGGCTTGGGGGGTGCTGGGGGTGATCTGGGAACGTCGGGGTTGGTTTGGGACACCAGGGCTGATTTGGGATGGCAGAAGTGATTTTTGGAACCCTGGGAAAGCCTCTGGTGCAGACACCCAGCCCAGCAGCAGCCCCTCTCCTAGCATCCCCCCCACCCAGGAGGATCTGGGGCCCTGTGACAACTCTGGACATGGATTTTTCGCCTCCTCCGGGTTTATTCCTCGGTTTTCTCCTCGGGCTGATTGAAGGGATCAGGATTGGTTGGAACTCAATAAACCTGTTCAGCCCCGATGAGCCGAGGGGGCCGGACCTCAATTCCCTGATTCCCCCTAAACCGGGATCTGGGGGAGCCCCCTTGGGCTGGGCCAGAAGGGTTCCCCTGAGGAGGGGAGTGAGTGGGGGGAACTGGCTGGGGGTGTGGGGGGACATGAGGCCTGTGGGAGTCCTGCCCCTGGGGCTTGGGGGGCTCAGCCCCACAGAAGGAATCCGGTTCCATGGATGGGGGGGCTCAGTCCCACCCTGTCCGCACAGATGGGGGGCCCAGCCCCAGCCCCATGGATGAGGAGCTCAGCCCCATGGATGGGGGGCCTTTGGCCCCACCCCAGCCCCACAGATGGAGAGCAGCACCCCCTCCCTGCCCTCCCTGCCTGTGAGGCCTGAGGGGGACGAGGGAGCAGAGTCCTGCCATGGCATCACCGTGGAGCACAGCCACCTCCAGGCCCCCACCCTGCCCCTCTGTGGGGCACAGCTTCCCTTGGGAGCCACCCTCTCTCCCTGCCATGGGGCACAGCCACTCCCGTCACCTGTCCCCTCCCTGCAGTGGGGCACGGCTACCACCGGACCCCCGTCCCACCCTGCCATGGGGCACAGCCACCACCAGGACCTCCATCCCACCCCGCCATGGGGCACAGCCACCACCAGGACCTCCATCCCACCCCGCCATGGGGCACAGCCAGCCCCAGGCTCCCCCATGCCCAGCTGGCCGTGGGGCACAGCTGCCCCTAGGATGCCCGTGTTGTGTGTCCCCTGTCCCTCGGGTCCCAGGTGCTCAGCGGGTCCCCGTTGCGCTCAGACCGCGGCCGTGGTTTATTGTCCCACCCGCGCTACATCCTAGGCTGGCCGGGGCCCCCGGGGCAGTGCCGGCCCCGCTGTGGGGGCAGCCGGGGGGCAGCCGGGGGTCCCGAGGGCTGGGGCGGTGCCAGAGCCCCTCAGCTGGGGCCGACCTGGCTGGAGGACACAGAGGAGACCTCGGTGCGCTGGGCCGAGCTGGACACGTCGGAGTCGTCTGACATGGGCCGCCCGCACACCGTCTCCATGATGCAGGCGCGGAACTGCGGGGTGCAGACAGGTGACACGGGGTCACAGGAGAGGGGATGGCTCAGTCGGGGGGTCTCACTGGTCCTGTGTCCAGCCCTGGCACTGTCCTCCCACCCTCAGGTGCCACAGTGGCCCCATCTCCTGTCCCTGGGGTTATGGTACCCCCAGCCGTGCAGGTGTCCCTGGATGCCCCTTACACCCCGCATGTGCCACCCCCGGTGTCCCTGTTCCCCCGATGTCCTTGGGTGCCCCTGCGTGTCCCCGCTGCCCCAGTGTCCTGGGGTGTCCCCATCTTCTCTGTGTCCCCCTTGCCAAAGTATTCCTCTCATCCGGCTGTCCTGAGGTGTCTCCTCACCAGGTACCCCTGGGTGTTCCCCATGTTGGGTCTCCCTGGTCCTCAGATATCCTTGGGCACCCTTGGATGCCCCTGTCACCAGGTGTCCTTGGGTGTCCCCCATCCCATGGGCCCCTCTTCCGTGTCTGTGTGGGTGTCCCGGTGTCGCTGATGTCACCTGTTTGTTCATGAAGCAGTAGATGATGGGGTTGTAGACGCAGGAGCTCTTGGAGAAGAAGGCAGGGACGGTGACGAGGCGCAGGTCGATGCCGTGTTCGCGGTTGTTCACCATGTACATGGCCAGGGCCGCGTAGGGGACGTAGCACAGGCAGAAGGACCCGACCATGACCACGACCATGCGTGACACCTCCCGCTCTGCCTTCTGTGTCGTGGCTGACTCCTGCTGCTGCGCTGCCACCTGTGCCGGGGACAGGGACACCTTGGGACTGCCCGGGCTGCTGGCCCCCGCCCAGGCCCCTGTGCAGCCCCCTGCCCCCCCTGCCCGTGTGCCTGTCTGGTCCCTGCCCACCCTCCTGTCTGTGCTCGTGTCCAAGTGACCTCCCCTCCCTTCCTGCATCCCTCCAGTCCCCTCTCCCTCCCTCTCGCTCCCCATCCTGCCCTCTCTCCCTCCCTGCTCCCAGTCACTTCTCCATCTCTCGTTCCCTCCCTTCCTCCCTTCTGCCCCCCAGCCCCGCTCCGCTCTCCATCCCTCGCTCTCAGCCGTGCCTGACGCCAGTGCCCCCCACGTCCCCTGTGCCCCCCGTGCCCCCGGGACTCACGGCCCGCAGAGCACTGAGCAGCTGCGAGTAGGAGAAGATGATGAGGGAGAGGGGGACGATGAAGCAGAAGATGAAGAGGAACCAGGTGTAGTACTCGCTCTTGTACTTGGTGCCCACTGTGTACCAGTCAGGGCCGCAGGAGCACTGCAGCCCCTCGGGGACGTACCTGCAGCACCTGTGCTCAGCCTCTGCGCCATGTGGCACCTCCCAGTGCCCCCACAGCACCCCAGGGCACTCCTGGTGCCTCAAGCACTCACCTGGCACCCCCGTGGCACCCCCGTGACACCCCCATGGCACCCCCGTGACACCCCCATGACACCCCCATGACACCCCC